TATATATATATATATATATATCAAACAATTTTTTTATTTATTTATATATACATATATATACAATATAATATATTATATTTTAAATAATTAAATTTACGATCATGAAACGCATGCGCAAATAAATTAGCGAAATGTAAAATGTTTTGTCATAAAAAACAGTATCGATGATTTTAAATTAAAATTACACATATATTATACAATTTTTTAAAGTTATACATTAATTTGATGATATAAATATTGCAAAAGATATGAAAAAAAATAGAACAACCAGAAGAAAGTGCGTAAATTGTGGATGATTTAGATTCATCAAAGTGTTTTTGATGTAAAATTTGATGTGGAATAAAAACTGTATGTCTCCTTATTTTTGAAGTCGTTAACTTCCAAATATTTTTATTTAAAAATATTCGTAACATTTGATTATTTAGTATATAAACTTTTAAACTTTTTTTAAATGTGATATGATACTATGTATTTCATTTATACTTTTTTCACATAAGGTTAGGTATTTAAGTATAAGTATGTCGAGCGAAATCATTGACAGGAATATAAAAATTAGATTAATATTTTCAATTTAAATAAAAATTAAATATTTCTTTTTAAATTAAAAAAGATTTTTTTAAGTGTTTTATTCATTTTAATATAAATATTTATAATGCAAAATCAAAAGTTGAATGCATAATAAGTTTATAATATAAATATTAAATTAAATTAAAAAAATGGCAGAATTTGCAAAAAATTTAATAACTAGTAAAGATGTACAAAAACAGTGTAATGATTGGATAGAATCACAAAAAAATTTTACATATACTGATGAAATACAATTTAAAAGGAAACAGATAGACGACAATGATAGTTATAATACTGATTCTGAATTTGATTCCGTATCAGAAAATGGTGCAAAAAGAAGAAGAGTTGGTTTACCAGTAAAATATGAAGTTTATCATCTCTCTTGTGAATGGATCGGTTGCAAATATGAAGCCAATCATGTTGAGAAATTTATAAATCACGTGGCCACGCACGTGTCAGATTTAAATACGCGAATTAATGAAAAAGACATTAATGTTTATATATGTCAATGGAGCGGTTGTTTATATGAAAGTAATGATCCTGATGAGATTTCTAGGCATGTTAATTATCATGCTTATCATACTAAATTAAAATGCATTGGATCAAATATTCGTACTAGAATCAAATTACCTGTAAGTAATTATTTCTACTATATTTTTTTAATATATGCTATATATTATTTTTTTAATATAATAAATAAATTTATTTTATAAATTTATAAATAAATTTTATTTTATAAAATAACGTAAACATATATAAATATATATAATAATATATTTTATTTTT